CACACACACACACACACACACACACACACAGTGGACAACCAGCGTTAACAGAACTCTTATTTCTTCGCCACTCACCCTGCTGGTTGTAAAGGCCATTACGAGTCATCAAGGTGTGTGTGTGTGTGTGTGTGTGTGTTTCCTGGGTAAGAGTGTGTGTGGGTTGAAAAAGACGCCTGTCACAGCACGCTCTCATAATTGCCCTCTTAGCCAATTATCCCCCATTTAAAAGCAACTCACCTGCTCCGCTCCCGTGTCCACACGAATGCGTGCACACTCGCACACAAACACACACTCGGTAAATAACACAGAAGCTTAATATTTAATCATTGTTTGTCCTTGAGTGATTTGTTTGTTTACTGCGTTTGTGCTGTATTGCTTTATGATGTTGAAGCCATTCATACCATTTTCTCTGCTCCTTAGATTCTGATGCACACCAAAGACATGGTTCAGAAGGTGAGTTCTTGGTAAATGTATTCACAAACATTAAAGAAAAAACAATAGGATGTATTTACCACATAACCCAACACGATTAGTGTAAGTTATCAGAATTTTTTTGTAAAAAAATAATGGATAAATGTAGTTCAGAGGTTGCATTTGCCTTGTTTATTTTATTGCTAAAAACCAGAAAGTCTTYCACATATTAGATCAAAGAAGGGTGTGCTGCAATGTTATGCTAACAGCACAAACATTGGTAGACCATCTGTTTAAACAGTATACCATTGTTGAGACTCATCTAAAACCTTTTTTTAGTTTCTCTTGGGAACCTCTGTTGYACTGTTCTCACATACAGAATATTGTAGGGGATTCCCTTTAGAGACTGCAGGCATCATCGCTGACCTTGACGCTGAATGCATTTCACCATCTGGGTGCAGACAGCTCTTTGAGAAGCTGTGGACGCTGTCGGTACAGAAGGAGCTCAGGCGATTGGATTTGCTACGGGTGAAGCCATCGCTTAAATAATTGGGGAAATCCCGCTTTAAATCGTTTCCCTGTGAGAAATGTTCTGACTTTAAGACTGGATATGAGTCAGCAGCAGAGTTCATCATGTTAAGTCATCATAAATAATACTCTGAAGCAAACATGCCAAACAACAGCAGGCTCTCCTCACAGTGTCACATTGTTATTCTCACAATAATTAATTCTGTTCATTTCAAAATATTGCATTTTTCACACCTTCTGGAACAGGATAGTGTTGTTTTGGAAATCTACAAAGTTGCTTAGGTTAACTGAATGGTAATTCCTTGTCGGGATGTGTATTGGGAAAAATCTGGTAACATGACACGAGTCACGATACGATATGTCGTGATATATTGCATGATATTGCCATTTTTTTCTCCAAATTTTCTAATTTTACAAAACTCTTTTATATGTAGTTCCCCCCTCTATGCAAGGTATTAGACAAATACCTGCCTGCCGTATCATAACACTTCAATTTGGCTTAAAAAAACACATCATTTAATACGGGACAATTGGCAACCCTACCTCAGCTCTGAAGGCCACAAGTGTTTGTCTAATCTGCTCAGGTTCAGCCATCGGTATTAATGCTAACCTTTACTCATAATGCTAACGTTAGAGCTAGCATAATAATCTAAGGCTTCTCAGGAGTGAAGGAGACGAATGGCGCACTGACTGCTGCCTACTAGTGGTCGGAGGGTAAAATACAACACAAGAATGGAAGTTTAAATTTTAAGCCTTAATTATAAATTCATACATTTAGACAGTCGATACTGTATCGGGAATTGAAATATCGTGATATTTTAATGTATCGATATTTTTCTACACCCTCTTATTCCTTGTACTTTTGTATGTGTGACTTAGATGAATCTGGAAGTGATTTATGGAGATACCGACTCCATCATGATCAACACCAACAGCAAATCTCTGGAGGAAGTCTTCAAACTAGGAAACAAGGTTGGTTTTTGTCTTTGTGTGTTCACGTGGACGGTGCAGGTGCTTCACACTGACCCTCTGTGTGTGTGTGTGTACTTTTATTTTCAGGTTAAAGCAGAAGTAAACAAGCTGTACAAACTGCTTGAGATCGACATCGACGGTGTGTTCAAGTCTCTCTTACTGCTGAAGAAAAAGAAATACGCAGCTCTGGTGGTGGAGCAACAGGGCGAGGGACGATACAGTGTGAAACAGGAGCTCAAAGGCTTGGACATCGTCCGCAGGGATTGGTGTGATCTGGCCAAGGAATGTGGCAAGTATGTAAAATAAAACTAACTGTATTTTCTCAAAATCACAAACCGGATTTAAGAAACGTCAAGAAGGAAAGAGTTTATGTTGATATTGTTAAGCTATTTGTTTTGGTAAAGGTTGTTTTATAATAACATACAGTTAAAAAATATGATGGTTTAATCTAAAAGCAATAGAAGTTATGTATAAAAATATGAGAAATGATATTTACCGGTAATGTTTTTATACCGGACACATTGATGGTTTTTATGGTCTTTGTTTTGCTTGAGCTGATTTCCTCCTCTCGTCTTCTAGCTATGTGATTGGTCAGATCTTGTCTGACCAGAGTCGTGACGTCATCGTGGAGAACATCCAGAAACACCTGGTGGAGKTGGGAGAGAAGGTAGCCAGTGGAGACATACCCCTCAGCCAGTATGAGATACACAAGGTCAGATCATAGCTGCTGGAGCTTTCTTTTTCGTTTTATTATTTTCGGACCTCCCACGTTTTAGGTTCACCATTTCCTCTTTGCTGATTATCTTCTCTTCTTTCCTGTTTACAGTCACTAACAAAAGATCCTCAGGACTACCCGGACAAGAAGAGTCTCCCTCATGTCCACGTTGCTCTGTGGATAAACTCTCAGGGTGGTCACAGGGTCAAGGCCGGAGATACAATTTCTTACCTCATTTGCAAGGTGCAAAAAAAAAAAAAATGTCTACATTTCAACTTGTGAAAAACATTAGTAGTGCATCTTTAATTAATTTATTTATTTTTGTTCAGGATGGCTCCACATTGGCAGCCAGTCAGAGAGCCTACGCTCTGGAGCAGCTTCAGAAGCAGGAGGGTCTCAGTGTGGACACGCAGTACTACCTGGCCCAGCAGGTCCACCCTGTAGTTTCTCGCATCTGTGACCCGATTGAGGGGATTGATAGTGTGCTCATAGCTACCTGGCTTGGTAAGTTTCAGAAGATTTTTATTTTTGTTAATTGTGACTTAAGTTATGAAATGCTGTTATGTATGCAGCAGGAGTTGAATTGCTCAGATTGAATCTGAATGTACAGAATTTGAAATTGAATACATTGGTTTGAAAATACATTTTACTGAATTGAAACTGAATTTAAAGTTTTGAATTTGAACTAATTTGCTTTGAAGCTGTATTTTGGTTTATTAAAATATTCAGTTTGACTACTTTCACTTTCAGTTCCATTATGCAAATTTTTGTGTCAGACATCCTGGTCCTTGATAAAGCCAGCCAGAGTAATCAAGCACAGATCCACAGATTTATGCTTCACTTTGGTGAAGTTTCCCTTCTGTAATGTAACAGAGTTGATGCAATCCACTGTAAAAGTTACAAAAAACAGACATTTCATTGCAGTGATAAATTTTACCTATAGAAAATGTTACATTTACATCCTGTTATGGATCAGTCAGCAGCAGCATCTGATCAATATGAGATCCATGATGTGATGTAAATGTAACATTTTCTACATATAATTATGGTTTATGTGGTTTTGACCCAGAAATGAATAGTGGAGATTTTTAAGGAGACTGTTTCTACTTTAAGTGTACAAATATTACTAATAAACCAATAAAGAAGGATATGAAAAGAACAAAACCTACTATTTGAGCAATTTTTGTTATAATTTATGATTAATGTTTTGATCTGCTTTAACTTTGAAGTCAAAAATCTTATAATTTTAAGATGCATGYTCTCTCCGTGCATGYGTGGGTTCTCTCCGGGTACTCCGGCTTCCTCCCACAGACCAAAAACATGACTGTTAGGTTAATTGATAACTCTAAATTGTCCCTAGGTGTGAGTGAGAGAGTGAATGGTTGTTTGTCTTGTTTGTCTCTATGTGTGGCCCTGTGATGGACTTGCGACCTATCCAGGGTGTACCCCGCCCCTCRCACTGTGACTGCTGGAAATGGGCACCAGTGACCCACGCAACCCTGAAAAGGAAGAAGCGTGTACAGAAAATGGATGGATGGATGGATAGCTATAAGTTTTGGGTTGGGCTCCAAAGGTGTTTGAGTGCAGGGGTATTAAGTAGTTTTATTTGAATGAAACAACCAGGATTGAGCGTTTGCTTGCTTTAGGTCTGGACCCGAGTCACTTCAGATCCCAGCAGCAGTATCAGAGGGAGGAGGAGGCCGACGCCATGCTGGGCGGACCAGCTCAGCTCACCGACGAGGAGCGGTACAAAGACTGCGAGAGGTTCACCTTCACGTGTCCTAAGTGTTCCACGGACAACGTCTGTGACAGCGTCTTCCAAGGAGCTGTGAGTAAATGTGGACAGAAACGCTGTAATTCTTTTGGTTCAACATCGAGGCGAAAATTTGTTTGAGCCCCTACTCACACAAACAAACTGAATAAAAAAGTGTTTTTGCTGTTTTGGGTTAATCAGTGGCGACGCAAACAAAGAGCGTTCGAGGGTTGGAGACGGTGTTTCCGAACGCATTTCTGTAAAACTCCTTGTGAAGGATTCATGCTTTAGTCATCCTCCATATTGTGTCTCTGCCTGTATTTTTAGACAGCTGCCTGGCTCCAAACCGGACTCTGTTTTCATTGGCATAGTTTGGACTCCACAACTTGAAAAGCCTTTCCTTAACCCTGCAGCCCTGTAGACACACACACATGTATACACTCATCTCCTACCATTTGTCAGGCCAAGGTCCTGTGTTGGAGTGTTATCAGCCTCTAATGAGGAGCAGGGCACGCAGCTTTTTCTTGTCTGGAAGATCCTAATAAAACTGACAAGCCTCTGTCCTCGATGTGTGGAAAGAGCTTGGATTAAATTAAACAGCAATTTATATACTAGAAAAGGATTATATGATTACACTTTAAGGCACATACTCAGCTTTGATTTACTAAAAACAAACTCAGCTACTACATCGATTTTTAGCTCGTTCCTTGTAGAACTTGTGGTGTTTGTTGGAGATGAGCCTCAACTTTAATGACACCAAATTGTAGCACCACATCTGGAAAATTAACTGAATCATAGCCAATTACGAATTGAGCTGGCTCCAAAACTTCATCTGTTGTAGGAGAACTTTTAGTGGTAAATTCCTGATAATTTCACTAAAATGGTTCATGAGATATTTAGTTAATTTTAAATGGTTAATGGCTAAATTTTAAATAGAGATCTTATGGAATCTCTTAGTGCAGAATAGGTGTTAGGGATTAGGAGTGTAAGAAAATATCTATACACTGAAATATCGTGATATTTCATTTCCCGATACTGTATTGATTCTCTTAAGCCCTGTATCGATTTTTAATTAAGGTTTAAAATGTCAACTTTCCTGCCAAAGGTTCATTTTTATGTTGTAGTTCAGCCTTTGACTGCTAGTAAGCAGCAACGAGCCAGTCATTTGGCTCCTCTACTCCTGAGGAGCCAGCGAGTAAGGGTGGCATTAGCATTGTGAGTAAACATTAGCTTCATGCACCGATAGCTGAATCTGAGTGGAAAAGACCGACACCCGCTGCCTTCTAAGCTGAGGAAAGGTTACAAACAGTTACTTATTTGTCAGAATGTCTGTATTTTAAGCCAAATTGAAGTGTCTCGTGTGCTCTTTTTCCAACTGTAGTCAACCTTCATGTTACGGAAGGCAGACGTGTCTATCGCCTTGAGTTTGGCGCTCCCCCCTTAAGATGCCCCGTGACAAAAAACTGTCTGCAGTTCCCAATTAACTTTATGACGGCATATAGGCTATTGTTGTGTGTTGGGTGACCATAATGTTAGTAAATTAATATTAAAATTAGGTATGCATGGTAACTTATTTTAAGAACCGATACGATAACCGATAACTTTCTCCTTCTAACGGCCGATAACTGATAACATGCCAGGAGATGGGTCAAGATCATAACATAAATAAACAAGACCAAAACCTATGATGCATTTTGCTTGGTATCTGAAAATACATGTCCTCAAAGGTATTTTGAATCTGAAAATGTCTTCACTGAGTGAGAAGTAGTGTTAAGAGTAGCAGAGAGTTTCACTTGCACTTTTAGTTTCACCAGTTGTTTGCTTTGTTGCTGCTGAGAGCCTGCAGGAGTCATGGGTGGGGTGTGTGGGGTGTGTGGGGTGGGGAGGTGTGCTCCGTGATGAGGAAGCTCGGCTTTGAGACACAGCCCAGAGGCAGAGATGGTCCCAAAAGGTGGTTCTAGTCCCAACCTGTCATTTTTGCTCCCCTGCCTGCAGCCTCAGGACTCTACAGGATTTCTCAAACATGCATTAATGATTCAAAGTAAGACTTTGGGCATGTTTTTAATGAGAGGATAACATTATAATATGATATAAATCTCAAAAAAGTTGATTTTACATGATATAGCCCTTTAAAGTGCTTGAGATCTGCGTCCTCTCTGGCAATTTTTTTGGGATTTGTCCAAAGCCTCAGCAGTGATTTAAGTCCCGATGAGTTCTTGAACGCTAGCTTGTTGTTGTTAGCATTTTTAACAGCACGGACTTGATGCTGCATTCAGGAGGTAACAGACATAATGTTCTCAAATTGTGCGTAGTTGCTCAGACCTTTTTATGTTTATAATTATAAAGTTTGTGTGTAACATACATGGTTAAAATAATATTAATAATTCTTAAAATGACTGGTTGTTTTTCAGCACAGACTATTCTAATTATTTTTCTAGTGAGAAAGTTGTTTTTCCCGACGCAACTTGAACGTTTCTCGGGTCGTGCCGGACGAGAAGCAGCTTGACCAAAGAGGATAAAAATAAATAAGCGCACTCACCGCCACACTGGCAAACATGTACATATATTATCGGTTCTGTTTATGATTTCGAACCGATAAGTATGACGTCATAATTCCCTGACATCRGGCCGATAACTATCATGCACCCCTAATTAAAATCTAAAAGCTGCCACAAATATATTTTCAAACTATTTATTGGCAAATTTAGTCTAATAATTTAACATGTGGATGAAATAAGTAATATGAAACAAATAAAATACACACAAAACATACTGAGTTTTTTATTTAATACAATTTTTGGACAAAAAAAATCGTAATATATCGTGATATATCGTATTGTGACTCCTCTGTCATGATATCGCCAAATTCTTGCCAATACACAGCCCTATTAGTGATGAATATCAGCTGCTACCATGGTCAGTATCTGTAAAATTGACTAAGCTGTAGCCTTTTTTTGTATTTTGTGTGGTCAGTTAGCTATGCCAGGCATCTCGAATGTGTTGAAACCAACACATTGTAGCAACAACTGTTTGACACATTTTGAACTTTCAAAATAAAGCAGCCGTTGAGCGAGWGCCGATCCTGTGATGGTGGGGCCGGCATGCACGCGGTCACACTGCAAACTGATAAGACAGTAAGTTAATTAAAGGTGGCGAACACGGTCTAACAGCTCAGCGAGAAGGGGAGGACAGTTGGGCCTTGACTCCACTGCTGACTCCGAGCCAGAGATGGTAGGAGGAGGCGGTGATGGATGATGGAGGACAGACGGGAGGAAAGCTGTTTGATGGGGTGTAGCCAGAGAGGGGGATGAAAAGAGCGTTTGGTAACCTGCATGGATGGTTAAAAACTGAGTGCTTTTAAAGCTGCGTGTTATCAAACGATGACACAGAGGAAACGAGACGTTTAACAACTTTACACATTCGAACATTTTTACCGTGACGCACAAACGCATCCAGATACTTTGTTTTCTGTTTTATAATTTGATTGAATTGTTTTGTGATAAGGCAACTGACGATTTTGTGTTGTGTTATTTTTTATTAGCTGCATCATGTTTAGGTGGGAGAGTTTGAAGTGAAACTAGTGCGATAAAGAGCTGAAGAGGGAGGAGAATGGAGAACTAGCATTCCTACAAGTGTTGCATATCACCTTTCGCCTTTTGTGCCAGACTTTTAAAGGGGACATATCCTGCAAAATCCACTTTTTTAAACGTTAAATACATTTTGTTGCGTACTTAGTCTCTAGGAGTGCAGTACATTTGAATTTAGTTTCTCCCGGTGCTGTGTAGACGTCTCTATATTCTGTTTGGGTCTGTTTTCTTTGACGTTTTCTGAACTATTATGTCATGAAACAGCCTCAAAATGAATTGAGCTATGACACACCTCAGAAAAGGGGCGGGGCTTGTGGAGTTACTATAAGGAGGAATTCAGACAAAAGCATTGCAGTTCCTCTTTATATAAACCCCAACCGAAGGATTTAAATGTGAAAAAGAAGCATAAAATGCGTCTCCTTTAACATTAAAGTCATCGAACGATGAGAAGAGATAAACTGAGATCTTTGAACAAATGTGGATATTATGAAATGTTTTACTGCTCAGTCTACAACACTGAAATTAGCTCAGAAGCTAAAATTTGTTTAGTTGTACCTATTTTTGTTGGTTTATCCATGACCGCCATCATGAATTAAGTTGACTATGAATTAGAGATCAACCAATATAGATTTTTTTAAGGCCGACATTGATTATTTTGGCGTCAGTCAAACCAATCCACTATGTGTGCTGCTCGTGGTTTTGGGACAGTTCTTGAAGCCGCTATTTTCTTCCTCTAGTGTTGGGCAGTATACCGGTTCGTACCGAATAATACTGTTTTTTATTTCTGTTATGATATGAATTTTCTGAATACCGACATACTGGTTTAAATGGCCTGAACACGTTGGGAATGTTTTGTCGTGGCCGCCAATGAACTGCTTCCCGGGGGACACTTTTCCTCACAGCTATGTTATTGTTGGAGTAATTGGTGGCGGGTGGTTCCGCTTCTTATATTGACTGACGTAAAAAAAAAAACATCCAGTGTTCATCATCGCTGAATGTAGTAAACACCTCTTCAGTGACATGCATAGTTAGATTTTACGCGCAAAGTTAATATGGAGACGTTATTGCATGGAGACTCATTATGCTTCTATTGTGAAAAACTCGGGGGAAGTAGTTTCGTAGTGGAATTGAGTTGAATGGGGTGCAAGGTGAGTCGTCCTTTTAATCTTTATTAAATAACATAAAACAATAGACCCAATAATAATCTTTTCTTAACCCTCGTCCTTCACTACTGGACCAAAATGTGTGACTACTCTCTCCAACCACCAGTCAGAGAAGAAAAGACACATAGGAGAGAAACAGAGACACAGAGAGAAGTACAGTATAAAAAAAAGTTAATAAGCAGTGTTTGTACATTTTATTAGCAGCTTATCTGAAATGAAAAGAAAAATACAGTGATATACCGTGAAACTGGTGTAAATGTTGAAAATACAGTGATATAAARTTTTGGTCATAACCGCCCAGCACTACCTTTCCCTATTTATGTGA